TTTTGTGTTAGGGATTTGTTGGAGTTAAGATTTTCTTTGGTTGATGAATCAATTTCTCCCAGTGTATCTTCAATGCCTGAGATTCTCCTTCCATCTCTTGTATTCTGTTGGTTATGCTTGCATCCATAGCACCTGACCGCTTGCCCAGCTTTTCTCTTTCCATCCTTCCTTCAGATTGTATTTTTTATTGTCTCTACTTCAGTTTTCAACTCTTGCACTGTTTTAATTTTTTCTTGCAATTTTTGCTTTGTCTTTTCATCCATTTGTTGCATTTTTTGGTTTGGCTTTTCTTCCATTTCTTGCATTTTTGGTTTGTTTTTTCTTCCATTTCTTGCATTTTTGTTTGCTTTTTCTTCCATTTCTTGCTTTTTTTGGTTTGTTTTTTCTTCCATTTCTTTGAGATTTTTCCTATATCCTCTTTTATGGTCTCTATCATTTTCATGAAGTTGTTTTTAAGGTCATTCTCTTCTGCTTCATTTGTATTGGAATGTTGGAGTCTTGCTGGTATGGAGTCTCCAGAATCTGGTGGTGTCATATTTGTTTTTCTGTTGCTGAGTGTGTTTTTGTAATGTCTCTTTCCCATCCCTTCTTTTAGTGGGTGCAGAAAGAGCCCCTTACTAGTCTGGTGGTTAGGGGACCAGAGTTCCCTTTTGGTGGGTGCAAGCAAGTCCAATACTCCGGTAGTTCTCCTCTACCTCGTCCTAGTTCTGGTCCTGTGGGTGGAGAAGAAGACTGGGATTCAGGGGTGCATAGGCTCCCACCTAGAGGGGAGACTCAGCAGTAGTCTCCAGGCACTGTAACATGGGCCCAGAAACAGACCCCAAATTGCCTGGTCCCATGGTATAGAAGAAGACAGGGAAACTGGGATGTGTAGTCTCGTGCTGGGAGGGAAGGCTCACTGGCAGTCTGCAGGCACTGGTCCCCTGGTCCCGTTGGTGGAAGATGAGACCAGGAATCTGGGGTGCGTAGGCTCCCGCTGGGAGGGGAGGCTCTGTAGCAGTCCCCAGGCATCAGATACAGGGCCTGGTTTACCTGGTCCCCTGACACGCCCGCTGTGCAGCCTGGCCGAGACTCTGTGGAGGGTGTTGGGATTGATGGCACAGAGACCAGTCGGTGGTGAAAGAAGGCTTTGCTTTGTTCTTACCCCAGCTGGTTATAAACCCTAACACCAGAGGCAGTGGTGGGGGGTCAGGAAGAGGCAGTTAGTCATTGGAAAGATCAAGGTCAGGGTACTCCCATAGGTGAGCCCTTATCAGGAACTTATTGCTCCGGTAAGCATTTTTTACTGGCACCGGACTGTTTTTAGTAAACATGTTTTCTCTGCGTTCAGTTACAGCTGCCTGCTCTCAGGCTGATGGGGAAGTGGGCCTGTGGCTGAGGTCTCTTGTCCCCACAGTCCCCTGGTCCCTGGTCCCCTGGTCCTGTTGGTGGAAACATAGACCAGGAACCTGGAGTGCTGGTGCATAGGCTCCCGCCTGGAGGGGAGGCTCTGTGGCAGTCCCCTGGCAGTCCCCAGGCACTGGAAGGCAGGGCCGGTTACAGGGCCTGGTTTACCTGGTCCCCTAGTCTCATTGGTGGAAGAGAAGACCAGGAATCTGGAGTGTGTGGCTCCCACTGGGAGGAGAAGCTTTGTTGCAGTGTCCAGGTAGTCCCCAGGCACTGGAAGGCAGCCCAGATACAGGGCCTGGTTTACCTGGTCCCCTGGTCCTGTTGGTGGAAGAGTAAACCAGGAATCTGGGGTGCGTGACTCCTGCTGGGAGGGGAGACTCTGTGGCAGTCCCCAGGCAGTCCCCAGGCACTGGAAGGCAGCCCAGATACAGGACCTGGTTCACCTGGTCCCCTGGTCCCATTGGTGGAAGAGCTAGTGTCTATATTTTTAAGTATCACTGATAGCATGCTATTCCTGGGTCTCTGCGAAAATCAATTTTTATGAAGTTCCCTAAATAGTGAACCCAAAAATTTTAAATTATTAACCAAATTCACTTCATTATCTTTCATTAGTCATTAGTAGCTCTGAGGTACAAAGTGACAGGTTCTCTAGGAAGCTTGGGTAAATTAGTTCATCCACAGAATGTGACAAAAATGTCCTGTGACAAAATCTCACTCTCAGGCTGGCTTGTGTGATCTTTAGATGTAAAACTGTTAAAAGCGAATCATTCTGTACTTTTCCAGTTTCCAAACAAATGCTGCTAGTTTCACTCATCAGTGTTCTTAAGAACTTTATGTTATTTTTCTGTTTATGCTTGCCTAAAACGAAGAAGCTAGGCTCTTGAGAAGGGACAGGCACATGAGTCGTATGCCCTCCTCTCTTTCCAGTCTAACTTTGAAGGAATCAATGGATTTTGGAGGCTAGCATTTGCAGTGACCTCAGTCCTGTTGGGTGACTCTGCAGACTCCAGGTAGACAGGGTTCACTTGGTGCCCAGGGACATTGTTTCTGCTCGTGGTCTTGGACGTTAACTCACTACATCCAAACTCACAATAAGCTGATTGTTAAGCAGAAAAGCAGGCTACTAATAGTCAGTGGAAGAATGTGTGACCAGGATGTATTACTGATATAGAACTTCCTGTCCTGGGCACTGAATCTGCTGGGTGAGCCCACTGCAGATTTGAAAAGTTAGCTGAATGGTGTGATGTATTTCCATCAAACAGGGTTGAATTGCTATTGCTAATCTTAGCAATGCCTTTCCCAACACAATTTTGGTCCCTTATGAATCCATTTCTATCCACAGCTTCCATTTGAGTCCTCAAGCCTAGTCAATGTGTTGATGTGCTGTTTTCTGAAAAGAACATTCTCACAGATGTCTATCAGTTGGCGTTGGTTCTTACAAATGACTTTCCATCTGAGGGGGGAGATACAAGGATTTTCTTACCAAGTCCTTAGACTTTACATATTAATCCAGCACACAGTTAGTGTTAAATAGTAATCATATTCACATGTTCTGATTTTAAAAATTATATCCTGCTTTCAGCATCAAACTGCTATAATTTTTCTTGAATGCTGATCTTTAAATGAAAGTCTATAAAATCTGATGAGCTATTGAGGTCCATCTCACTCACTCCCCGCTATTTTTCCTGCCTCTGGTATTTCATTCCCAATTCTCCATCTGAAGTTGTGGATCTTGGGTATTTTGCTAGGAAGATAAAAGTGTCCAGAGACTTTCCCCTCTTAGACAACTGTACTGATACCTTGTATCCATCCATTGGCAGCTATGAACTGTCCTGTCCCCTTCCTCTCACCTACCAGAAGGCTGCCATGTGTTTGTGTCCTCTCTTGTCATCAGATTTTTTTCCCTTTCTGCTGGGTCTTTTGTATCTACTGAGAAACATGATGTGTTATCTCATCATGAAGACTTCTCCCTGGGCTCTCACCTCCCTTTATCTGTAGACACATTTTCTGATTCCTGTTACAGCTAGCCTCCTGAAGGAGTTGTCTCCTCCATGCCTCTTATGTTCTCTTGACACAGCTCCATTCTGATGTATGTCTTCAGCAAATCCATGGAAACAATGATGCCAGGGCTCACGAGGCTCCACAAGTCCATTACATTCTCTTTGAAATTCTCCTCTTGGCCATCTTGGTGGCTACTAGGAGCATACTTCTTCTCTTCCTCTTAAAACCTTTGTATTCTACTTGGGCTCTGGGGCATTGCTGTGTTGTATTCTTCCTATGTAACTCATTCTTTACCCCCTTTGCTCATCTTTCTGTGTCTCCCCAACCTCTAATGATCTTGAAACATTGGATGAATTTAGGATTTATTTCTTGAAACTCTTCTGCATCTACACTCAGGAGTCTCCTAGCTTGCCAAATTTAAACACCACATCCATCCTTGATACCTCCTATGTATGTGTCTTAGCACCAGGCTCTTCCTGAACTCCACATCCATAAATGGACCTTCTGAGTGTTTATCTCCACTTGATGTTTCTCTTACTGTGTCCAAAACTGAATTCATGACTCCATGTTTCCCCAAGACCCACAAGTGTCCTGCCTTCCCGTTCTCAGGGGATGACAGTTCAACCAAGTGGCCACTCACACCAAGTCCTGAACTCACTCTTTCTTTCTGTCTCTTATATTACATTCACTGCATCTGTAGGTATCTTGGCCCTGACCTTCAGGATGAATCCCCAATCCCATCTCTTCCTGCTACTCATCACCGCTGCCTCAGTGCAGGAAACTGCCATTCCATGCCTGGCCTCCTGCCTGGCCTCCCCACTTCTACTCTTCCCTCAGCCTGTACCCAGTGCTGTGGTTAGCACAACTCCTTGGATTCCTTCAATGCACTATATCGTGTGGAAAATCCACATCTTTCTCCTCACAGAATAGTTCAGAAGCCTCACTAGCTTTCCAGGCCCTGAATCACCTGACGCCACTGTCACCTCCCTCCTCCCATCTACTCTTCCAGCCTTTCCTTTGTCCGCCAATATGTTACAAAGCCACAGCCCTGTCTCTGCTTTAGAAATCTTTCCCCTGAGCCTCACAGTCTGTCCCCTCCTTTACACTCTCCCGACTATCCGGATTAAACCAGTAATTTTCCCATTCCACATTCATCATGCTTCAACCCACTGTTTCAATGCATAGCACCTTTGCTTGTATTTGCCATTTTGTTCTTTCCTAAATGGAAGCAAAATGAGAAAAGAGCTCGCCCTTATTTGTTTACGTAGAGCAGAAAAGAGCTGTTAAGTGAATGAATGGATGAAATGGATGAGTCACTGAGCGCACAGATGAAAGAATAGACTGTGTGTATCATGTTCTCATGTATTATGATGTCCATCCACACCAGCCCTAGGAAGTTTCGTCTTGATCTTATAGTTTTCCTCATCTGTGCCTTAGCAGCAACCTTTTCCTCTTGTTACTTAAATAGCCATTGCCCTGCTTTCTTTTGTTTGTATCATTTGCTAAAGGCCAATTTTTCTCTCTAAAAAGCATGTCTAAAAGTGAATCTCTGGGGGAAATGGCAAGCAAAGAGGTCATGGGACATTGATGTGTCTGGGGATGTCCTCTAGTGTGAAGACGACTTGGCAGAGAAGAGGAGGAGCAACGAGGTTCTGCGCAGGGCCATCGAGACCTACCAGGAGGCAGCCAGCCTGCCAGATGCCACCACAGACCTAGTGAAGCTGAGCTTGAAGCGACGGTCAGAAAGGCAGCAGTTTCTAGGTGAGAAGCAGAGTGGCAGGAACGTGGTACCTCCTCAAAATCAAGGTGGCAGGAACGGGGTACCTCCTCAAAGTCAAGGTGGCAGGAATGTGGTACCTTCTCAAAGTCAAGGTGTCTAGGAAGAAGCTTGGCTTTACAACTAGCTTCTGATAACTCGTCGGCCTTAAACAGACCTTTTCTACATTTAAGTAATCCTAACCTCAGTAATTGTGTGCATATACATGTGTGTGTGGGGGGGAGGTGCATGAGTGTGTGTGTGTGTGTGTGTGTGTGTGTGTGTGTGCACGCGCGCACGCGCACACATGGGCATGTGTGCATACAGAAGCAAATGTCTGTGAATGACCAGACCAGAGGAAAACCTAGGTTCATTCCTCCTTATTTTTTTAAGACAGGGTCTTCACTGGCCTAGAGCTTTTCACAAATCCTGGACTGGCTAGCATGCTTGTCCCAAGGATATGCCTGTTTCTGCCTCCCAAGCACAGGGATTACAAGCCTGCACCACCATGTGTGGCCTTTTTGCTTGGATTCTGGGCAACCCGCTCAGGTCTTTGTTCTTTCGAGGCTGGCCAGTTTGCCAGTGACTGGGTTTTTCTCAAACCAAGATACAAGACTAGCAGCCCCTGAGGAAAGACACCCAAGCTTGTGCTCTGGCCTCTATTTCCATTCACACACATGCACATAAACATGTATGATTCAGTTTAGAAGTATGAATTTCTTCCGTTATTTTTTTAATACCAAGAGATTCTCTTGTCTCCCAGTCCTAGTGCAAGGTCGCTTGTGAAGATGTCTGACTTCTTACAGAAATTCTTCAGTGTCTAGTGTGGTCTCTTCTGCTGAAGTAAGAATGGGGCAGGGTGACATGAGGCAGGGTGACATGAGGCAGGGTGACATGAGGCAGGGTCACATGAGGCAGGGTCACATGAGGCAGGGTCACATGAGGAGGCTCTGAGGCAGGGAGGTGAAGTTGCCTCACAGTAGAACAGGAGACATGTGCAGAGTGGAAGGGACAGGCAGAAGGTGTCTGCAGGGGGTGCTTTGACCTGCACTGCTGTCATTACCAGGAGAAATTCCAAGGCTGAAGGAAAGCTTGAGCCTGGGTGGGCAGGCAGGGAGACCGAAGTGTACAGAAAAGAAACGGATTTGAAACAGAGGCTTGGACAAACCACCCTGGAGATCTGATTGGAATAGTGCTGACCAGCAATGGGGTCAGACCAGGCAGTGAGTGGGCAGGCTTTTCTGCCCGAGATTCTGTTACCTGCACAGCTGCATCCCTGACTGAACCCGCGGCTGCCTCCTGACTAATATTCTTTTGCAGGCAGCTAATCCCTGTAAGTGCTAGTCTTCCCTGGCACTTTCTTTTCATTTGCAGTTTGTGTTGTGACAAAGAGCAATGACAGTGGCCCAGACTGTTTCCCTCTGAAAGCCTCCAAGTGAACTGCAGCTGGGGGTTCCTGAGCCAAGGAGTGTACCATAGCCTGTCCTCCACCAGAGGCTCCCATAGCACCAGAAGATGCCTCCTCTGCACTATAGCTAGTTCAGCACTGAGAGACGGTGACTTGTGTTAGAGAAGGCACTCGCAGTGAAGCCCTGCTCCATGGCCCTCAGTGCCCATTTCAGTTTGTACCGACTGCTCAGCCCCGAGTCAGACTTTGCGCTATCTACTGTCCATCTAAAAATGTTAAACTAATAAACCACAATGATTCAGCAGGGCATTTTCCTCAAGAATTAGAAAGCTGACATTTCCTGAAGAAGGAATTTTAGATAAAAATGTAAGTGTGGATTGACTCAGAAAATAAGCCTGTCTTTACGATTTATGATTGATGCTGTATTTAGTATCTACATGTAGCAGTTACGTATAGCATTATAACTATGCTACTCAACTTGAGAATCCATTCATAGATGAGGTCTGATGTAAGGTGTTTTTCAGGCTCTGTTAAGTCTACTCTCGTACTTTGTATTCTCACTACGAAGGCTCACATAATATTTTTTTTCCTATTCATCATTTTTCCAACATCAGGTCACATGAGAGGTTCCCTACTTACTCTCCAGAGGCTAGTTCAGCTGTTTCCTGGTGATACTACATTAAAAAACGACCTTGGCGTAGGTTATCTCTTGATGGGAGACAATGACAGTGCCAAGAAGGTTTATGAAGAGGTAAGCACTGGTCGTCTGTGGGCCATACTGATTATGTTGTATCATAAGTTCAAGTGCTGATGGGAAATTATATGTGATATGCACTGTGTCTTGTTCTCTTTGTCTTGAATGAAATAGCATGTAAGTTGTTATGTGTGAGATACTCTGTGCTTGGTTTTCCCATTTCTCTTTTTCTCCCCACCCTCTCCTGAACCCTGAGTGTCACATCTCACACAGGCTAGCCTCAAACCCATGGCAATCCTCCTGTGTCAGCCTTGTAACTGCTACCATATCCAATTTTTCTTGTCTTTCATTATTGTTTTTCTTTATTGGCATGTCTCTACTATACAGAGTGATAGGTCCCATAAAGACTATTCAAGTATACATATACATTGACAATATTCACCCTTGTATCTTGATTGGAGCAGTTTAAATTTTAGTTAACTGTTATTGTAATGCTTAAATATTTTAATCAGTCTATAGAAAACTTTTTTAAGGGTTTTCTTCATGATAGGAACAGGAAGGAAGTTAATAATGAAGTTAATAAATGTAAAAATTTAATCTTTTCAAGTTTTGTAGTATAAGCCTCTCAGACAAAAGTAGTAGATGCTACTGTTTTCAAAAGGGCATTGATCTTCCCATCGTCTAAGTCTCAAGCAACTATAGAAACTGGCTCCTTCAGGCAATGAGGGGATTTATTCAGCACAAAGCAAACAGGATGTCAAATGCACTTTGAAGCAGGACAAAGCTAACCTCTGTAAAACAGAGATGGATATGGGAGTTTGTTATTCTTTAACTTAGGCCTCAGGATCAATGGTCTCCAGGCTGCTTCCTTTACAGGAAATGCTACTACAGTGAACTAGCTGTGTGGTAGGAGGGGCTCTTCTGTATCGATAATGCTGTCAACAGCAACAGTCTCACCCTCGGTTCAGAGGTGGGGTCCACTCATGAAGTGGTGCGTGCCTCTATTGCTCTTGGTCCTTAGTTGAAAATCAATGAATTTTGAAGCTATTGTCTTTCTACCCTTGCTATCATTTTTATTGTTTTTGAGAGAGCAGAACTTTGGCCTTGGCCTTTTATGGCATCAATAATACCTGCACAAGTGGACTGAGGCTACAGCATTGCAAACGTGTGCCATCTAGAGAGGACCTGCACCAGGCCATAAGATAATTCCATGTGGGACATGGTTTCTGCTAATATACCAGGTGTCCCCATCCTGCAGAGATAGGTTAAAAGAAACACCATGTGTGTCAGTGATTCAGGACCATGTGAATGTAAAAGCTAACAAATCATCAGAGACACAACAATGGGAATACAGTTGTCCTTCCTACTTTTGTGTCCCCGCCTTCCTACACTCCCTCCTTCTTTCTTCTCCTTGCAAAACTCTTCTTGCTTCCCATCTCTCTCTTTTCTTTCCTTCCAGTATCCTCAGTGATGTACCACCTGGGTGCCATGCACACTCCAGGTCACAGCAAGTGTGCATACTGACGAGCATCTGACTGTGTTTCTCCCCTCTCACCTGTAAAATTCTTCCCTGGATGCACTCAGCCCTTCGACCTGATGCTAAGTCTCAGAAATGTGAAACATTTTCCTTGACCTTGAAAAGTAAAATTACTTTGTCTATGCACCTGAGACCACAGTCTTTCCTGGCTGAGTATACTAGGAAGCACAAAGTCCCAAATATGGCCATCTCACACGACTGATTGGCTTTCTTTTAAAAGAGCATTAATACATTGTAAGTGATGTGGGTTTCTCCTTTTTATTCTTCCTCTTACTTCTAAGTTCTAATGAGCTGTGGCTAATGGATACTCCTTCCCTAAAGTTTGGCCTGGTGTATTTATCTCTTTTCCCAAGTTCATTTCAGAAAGTGATACAAGGGTTGCACTTCACATTGATCTTTTAGTTCATTTATGAAAATCATTGTAAGATCCTATTTTTAGATTTTGCTCTGGTATCTTTTCAGCACAGAGACTAGCTTTACAGAGGTTTGGTAGAAGCTGCTCATATCTGTAGCTTTTGGAGCCCCTCCCATGTCTCCTTTCCGAGGCAATGACACTGCCACCAACTTGGAATCCCAACCCGGCATCATTCCAAGTTCTTTGCTGCCCCCCTACACTCTGTGGACCTCTGTCCTCAACCAGCCCGCATTTACTAAATGCACACACCTCAGCTCAGGGCCTGAGCTTATTGAAGCCGTGGAGTTTCCAGTCTGGGGTCAAGAAACCACTTGTCATGTTCACCTTCCCAGTGCATCCCCCCAGACACTGCTAACCCAGATTCTTTTGCAGGATTGCTGCCTTTGTTTGACCTTCCTCTACCCCAAGCACCACCTGATCACAGCTCTCAGCTCCAATTCTGTTGTGCTTCTCACAACAGAGTTCTTCAAGCGTCTTTCACTGTGTGCCCTCCCAGGCCAAAGAGTTCAGTTAGATTTCTAGAGTTGTTTATAGATTTGAGTATCATCTATATTTGCAGTATATTATATATATATATACAGTGCATATTGTCTATATATGGCACATATTATCTATATATGCAATACATATTATCTATATATACAGTGCGTATTATCTATATATACAGTGCATATTATCTATATAATACATATTATCTATATATATACAGAGCATGTTATCTATTTATATATAATACATATATCTATATCTATATATATACAATACATATTATTTCTCTGTATATACAGTACATATTATCTATATAAAATACATTAAAATACATTTATCTATATATACAACACATTTATACATATAGTATATATTATCTATATATATACAGCACATTTATCTATATACAGTACATATTATCTATATATACAGTGCATTTTATGTATACATACAGCACATGTTATCTATATATACCGTGCATATTTTGTATATATGCAGTGCATGATATCTACATATACAGTGTATACTATGTATATATGCAGTACATATTATCTGTATATACAGTGCATATTAGGTATATATACAATACATATTATCTATATATACAGTACATATTATCTGTATATATAGTATATACTTTATAAGAAGTACATGCCCTCCAAATGAAACTTCAAGCACAAATGAAATATTTAGAATGCTTCCCAAATTTTGCTGAACTGACAAAAATCCTTTTCACTCTCACTAAAATATTGCTATTTCAGTATCATCACCGTGAAGTGCTACTCATGGTTTAGTAATACCCCTGGATATAAATGCATCCATGATGAATGCATTATAAGTATCCATCCCAGAGTGGATGCCTAAATATGAAGATAGCACTTACACTTCATGCATGTTATACTACAGTGGGGCTTTGAGCCATTGCTAAGGGAGATGAGGATACTGGACCAGAAGCTCTGTGATACTGTAGTAGTCAGTTTGCTGATGGACAGAAATAGTGAGTAACAGTCAGGTAGTATATACAATATGGAAGAAAGAGCATAATTTAACATTTTCTCGTGTAACTCACAGTGACACACAATTTAGAACATGCATTTTTTTCTGGAGCTTTCTGTTTAATATTTTGGGGTCATAATTGACTGTAGAAAATGAAGTCTTGGATAAAGGAAAATAGATAGTGTTTGTAAAGTTTTGAAATGTTCCTTGCAATAAGATTTACTGTGGGTAAAAATGTAAATAGATGATAGATAGATAGATAGATAGATAGATGGATAGATAATAGATAGATTGATTGATAGATAGAGAGATGAGATGAGATTAATACAGATAATACATACAAAGACTATCTAGTGTCGTTTTACTCAGTATGGATTTCTTGTAAACCCACCTGTGTCTTTGTCTATGAGTTTATTAAACCTGTAAATTCACTGCACATCCATCTACAAAGTACAAAATCATGGTGTCTAAATGTAAAGCAAGATGGAGACAACACTGTCAGCCCCTGTGGGGCATGAGCCCTGCCCATCCTCCTGGTCTGTATGTGCCAGATAGGATGCCTGACTGTTCACCTGCAAATGAGCAGAGAGATGTGGGCTTCATTCCCAGGAAGTGTGTTTCAGAGCAGGAGTGTTTGTCATTTCTTTTCCCTGGGGGATTATTCTTCATGTCCCTAAACAGAATGTTTTAAGATTCAATGTGACCCCTGTACTCTTCTCCAGTTTCTTTGCCTATTGTCTTGTTTAGTTTCACAGCATCCCCCTTCCCTTCCCCGTGTGTGTGTGTGTGTGTGTGTGTGTGTGTGTGCCCATGCGTTTGTGTGGTGTGTTTGAGAGTGTGTGTGTACATGTGTGTTTGTACACATGTGTTTGTGTGAGTGTGTGTGTGTACACGTGTGTTTGTGTATGTTTGAATTTGTGTATGTGTATGTGTGTGTGTGTAGGCCAGAAGAGGGCATTGGATTCCTCAGAGCTGGAGTTACTACAGGCATTTTAGAGACTCCCAGTGTATTAGTGACTTTTCTTTTGCTGTGAAAATATCCTGACAAAAGCCACTTAAGGAACAGGTTGGGTATGGTGGTCTGAACGAGAAATGCCCCTAGAAGCTCAAGTATTTTGGCTTTGTGTGTTTCCAGCCTTGTCTCACTTTCTGTTTCCTTTCTGCTCCCCATGTGCACATGATAAGCTTCCTGCCAACATGCTTTCTCTGATGTTGTCCTGCTGCCCCATCACAATGGCCTCTTTCCCTTTGGAACTGGATAAAGAACTGGGATGGCTGGGAGTGGGGTGTCTTTCCTAGTTAAGAGATGGCCAGGAGTAGAATATACTGGAATAGTGTAGTGACCTTTGACCAAGGGAATTCTCACACAAGTAAAGGGATGACCCACTTAGACACCCTGGTGGGGAGTTTTTTAGCCTAAGGGGTATTTGAGAACAAATTATTTGGTGGCAAGGGTGCGTTTGGCTTGCTATGAACCACAAGGAGTCCAGTGTGTCTCAGAAGAGCAACTGGAAGAGGCAAGAGCAGAGAGAGACAGGTGGAGGCTGTAGAAGCGGTTCCTTGGATGTGGCCTTTCATGCTGAGTAAGTGAACCTACGGAAGGGTCAGGTGTGACCTTAGATTTCAGTGGTTTCCCTTGGGGTCCTACGTGGAGAATGAACAGCAGGGGTGCCGAGTGTCAGTAGCTCAGAGGATCCTGTAGGTAGGAGCAAAAGAGAGAGGAGATTCGATCCAGTGTGGTAGTGGGTAAAGAAAGTGTCGAGCTTTACGGTTCTAAATATGTCTAAAGGTCATGGTGGCCGGAAGTGGGAATGAATGAGGGTCTGCAGCCAGTGTGAGCCAAAATAACTGGAATATAGACTGTTTGCAGTGAGCCCAGTACAGGCATGGCGTGGCCCCTTGCTAGATACCTTGCTCTTCCTCTGTCAAGTTCCCGTGGTAGCTGTGACTTCACTCATTCTAACTGTCTCGGAGATAGAGAAGAGAGGTACTCAGGCATCATCTCCCCACAAGTACCACTCAGATCTTCTTCATCTTCCTTTTTGTTCAAGAAACTCATTTCCTACGCACATTCACAAATTGAATGCTGCTGTGTTGATTTCTCACTGTTAATATTTAATTTAGAGGCATTTTGTATAATTTATCTTCAAGTCATAATAAATGCATGTAGTGATGAACAATGGGATGCCTTGTTTGAAATATCCACCTGGGTTTTATCACAGACTGTTGGATTTTCTTTTCACTAACTTTATATTCAGTACTCATTGCACTCCCAAGAATTTATCTTCATTCGTAATTTTTTAGCTTGTTATTTCAAAATAATCTCCCACCTCCAAAAGGCTGCACAAGCAGGGCACAGGTTGTACACTCAGTTGCTCAGCCATTCTGGATGCAGCCTCAGCATAGAATCAAAGAGTTCAATTGGCGCCTCACCAGGCTAACACACAGGTTCCCAGAATTTAAAACTCTGTTCAGTGTTGCTGTTCAAGGCCTACAGGGCTCAATTCAAATCTGCTGGTATGTTAAGCCTGTAACAGTTCCTCAGGGATTTTTCACTCACACGCCTATGAAAAATACAGGCAGTTGTTAGGTTACAGCTGTCAGCTACATCTTCGTCATTCAGTATGGTTTTACTGTTGGTGCAGGTCAGCCTTGGGAGTAGTGCTGAGCCCTCGGTGGGGATATGGGATCACACCACAGCAGATGTCATTTCCATGGTCAAGGAAATGCCCCATGATACCACTATAGTTGCCTTTATGATCACCCCACATCTCTAGCACTTTACTCAAGATTCTTTCATGTTTTAGTGAATGAGTGGGTCCTAATATGTTGAGGCATGTATATAAAGCAATGTGTAATAACCCTCCAGAGTTTGCTTTTAGCACAAAAATTCAGACTGATTTTCTCTAATCACTGAAAAACTTTGAAGTCTTATCAATTGACAGGCACTTTTCTGATTGCAGGGCTAAAGCCATACTCCAGCAGTTACTACCTTCTCATTCACAACTTTATTCAGTAGCTGTGAAAGCATCTTGAGTTGAGAGGCAATGAGTTTGCTTTGTTTAATGATAGCAGTGAGACAAAGTGCTACCACAGTGTTTGAAGCTGGAACATCACAATCCATTCCAAGTACAGCAGAACTAATTGGAATTTGTTTTGACATTCACTTGTACAGTTTCTTCTCTGTCACAATAGCTCTTTGTTTTCTTTGAATTCAGGTTCTGAATGTGACACCAAACGATGGCTTTGCTAAAGTACACTACGGCTTCATCCTGAAGGCGCAGAACAAGATTGCTGAGAGTATTCCCTACTTAAAGGTACCTGCCATGATCTCCTTCCATCCATTCATTTCGTGGAATCTTTTGAGACCCACTTTGGTTATGGCTTTTAGTTGACTGGCATGCATTGCAGACTTCCTAGCATGGGAGTGCATGCTTCACAGGCAGTAGGTACCTACACCCTGAGTGAATGTTGTCAAGAGTCACCAACCACATGAGGTGCTTTATTTGGTGTCACTGTTGCCAAAATCCCCAACAGAATCCATTTAAGAAAAGTTTCATTTGGTCTCTGAGTTTCTGGGAGTTGCTCTGTGTGATCGTGGGAATGACACTACAGAGCTCATGGTGGCAGAAGTGAGTGACAGTGACTTGCTTATGTTGTGGAGTTGGAGATAGAAGCCAAGTAACCTCCAAGGTTCACCCCTGGTGACCTACTCCTCAAGCAAGGCTCTACAAACTCCCAAAACAGTACCTCATGCTGGAGACCAAAGCACAGGAACCTGCAGGAGATGCTGTTGACTTCACCAATAACAACATGAGCAGACACTGTTTGGGAAAGACTGTAGGAAGAACTTCCTGAACTAAAGCCATTATATGGTGGTATTAATTTTAATTAGCATCCACAATGATCTAAAGTAACAGATTTCATTATGACACTTACATTTGTTACACAGCATACATTGGCCATCCATTCCTCCCTAGTGTAGGTTTTACATTGCAAAAAGTAAACAAAATTCATGGGCAGTTTCTTAAAATATAGACAGTGTGCTAAGTGCCTTCTTCACAAATTAATTAAGTCTGTTCCAAAGGGCTCCAGCTGCCTCCATAGCATGTAAACTAGATAAGCTTGAATGCCAAAGCTTGACTAATGTCTCAAAGTCCTAAAATTCATTGTTCCTTTTTTTAAACTATACTAAACTGAAGCCTGGACAGTTTACCAGAATCACACTTGTTCTTGGTCAGGACTACTGCATAAAATTCTTGCTGTAATAGAAACATCACTTATGTGTATTACTCCCTCCTTCCACATGAGGCCACTGAGCATCTAAAATGTGGCCACTGTGACTGAGGAAGAGAATACAAGTTTATGTAAGTTCAATTTGTCTTCGTTTGAATGGCAACAGTATGGTAGCTAAGAGTAAGCTCTGCTACAGAGAACTACAGTATGCACATGTAGCTGATGAGAGCTTCCAACCCCCATTACAGTAGCAGTATGGCTGATTTCTGTGACTGCTTCAAATAATTCTCACCACCGCAGAGAATTCCCACAGTGTGTGTAGTCACACAGGCTTCTAGTTTCCTATTTAGTCCACAACCTTGGGGCATGGAGCTGAGCAGTGGTGCCTCTAGTTGGCATGTATGCTCATCTGTCCCGGCTATCATCAGGCACTGCAGACCTTTCCATTCCTTCCGGGGCCATGTGGGTATGTGTTGGTGTGATTTAAAGTACCCTCACGTCTCCTTTCACTCTGAAGGCCTGATGGTGTTCTCCCAGCCCTGTCAGTGGGAAAACAAGAGCTAGGGCAGATATTTAACAAACAAGGATGCTCCATGTCAGTAGTTCCAACATTGTGCAAATAACATTTCTTCTGAGAGAAGAGAATGACCTTTTAAATGTGTGTGTGTGTGTGTGTGTACACTATTATTATTTATAACCAGAAGTGTGTGGTGCATTGCATCTGTATCATGTACATGGAGGACAGAGGACAACTTGCAGGAACTGGCTCTCTCCATGCAACATGTGGGCCCTGAAACTCAGGTCATCAGGCTTGGCAGCAAGAGCCTTCACCCATTGAGCCATCTTGCCAGCCCTCAAATAACTAGCCTTTTGTGCAGAGACCTCAAAGATGCAAATTTTCAGAAAATAAACCCTTGTTATTAAACTATTTCAGATTTTTTTTGCATTTCCATATTTATTCTCTAGTATTTTCTCTTCCTTTTTTTTTTTTTTTTTTTTGGTTTTTCGAGACAGGGTTTCTCTGTATTGTTTTGGAGGCTGTCCTAGAACTCGCTCTGTAGACCAGGCTGGCTTCAAACTCACAGAGATCTGTCTGCCTCTGCCTCCCGAGTGCTGGGATTAATGCCCGGCTTCTCTTCCTTTATTTTAAAACAAAATCTTAATTCCAGTGCTTGTATGAAAACTGGGAAAAAATAACAAAGCATTTCACAATAGAAATTGTTCAGTTAAAATTACATGTGTCAAAATTCCAGTTGGCTTGAATTCTGTAAATTTAGTAAGAAGTTTCATTAACTACTTGTGACACATTTGTTTAGGGTAGAAAGAAATATCACTTATACTCTGACTGTCATCACTTGAAACACGAGCAATGAAATGTTTGGGTTCAGGGATAAAAAGACTCTAGGTGGCATATGGTCAGACTTGGAGAGCAAAATAAATGTGAAAGTACCCTGCCAGGGAAATCATCTGCAATATTGGAATATGGCTGCTCCCGCTGTACAAGTATACCAAGTACATGCTAATTTATGGAGTAGGCCACTATTAATGATAACTGCATTGTTAAGTTTGGATTAATAATCTCATTTTTATACTGTAAAATGTGGACCAACCTCACTGTCAGATTTTAATAATGGGATATAGTTTTCAGAATCTTAGGTTTTCATGTGAGATGTTGTAGTTCATACGTAAGGAAAATCTACACAAAACAAACAATGAGACTCAAACGCCACTGTCCTCTTCCAGGAAGGGATCGAATCCGGGGATCCTGGTACGGATGATGGCCGGTTTTATTTCCACTTGGGAGATGCCATGCAGAGGGTCGGGAACAAAGAGGTATTACTGACTTCATTTGTGACTTTACTCCAGTAGATAATGGAGTGGGGAGGGATTATTCTTTCTAGGAACCAATTAGAACTTTACAAACATTTTTAACACAAATTATTAAGGCAGTATTCTAATACGATCTTTGGGATTTGGATTTGCTGTTTGTTTGCCAAGCTTTCAAATAAGTAATCTGAATAGTACCTCTTTTGGTATGTGTGTGCCAGTGTGCACGTCTGAGTGTATCTATATGGGTAGGGAAAGGTAAATGCTACCTTGGAAAAGTATTTGAAATAAAGAAATAGAGAAGTCTCTAGAGTTGTTTAAAAATATTTACAGAGTTCAATTTTTGTTTTATTTTAGAATTTCTGCAGTAGTTAATTTTAGAACTCTTTGACTAATCCCTAAGCACCATGGTCTTTATGAATAACTGTGTAATTGTTGTATTAAATTTAAACTGAACATCTGTAGCTAGGATAATGACAGGTGCAACACAGAGAGAGAGAGAGAGAGAGAGAGAGAGAGAGAGAGAGAGAGAGAGAGAGAGAGAGAGAGAGAGAGAGAGAAAGAGAGAGAGAGAGAAAGAAGAGAGAAACGTTGTAACTAAAACAAATGACATATTATCTTTGTAAGTGTCTATTTCCTGAGTACAGTTGTCAACTTGTTTAAGTATGACATTAGTCGTAAAATCATGTACCATGAATTTCTAGCCTTGTTGCAATCCACTGTGACTTACATGCCAACAAACAATCGTATGCCATGTAAGAATTCTAACTTAGCTGACTAAAGATGAAAATGCAAATGAGACAGTGACTCTTTGTAACCACTGCCTTAAATGTGTGTGACATTTAAGGACAGCATAGCTTCAAATTTCTAAACGTAGTAAGAATGTGAGACCCTCTGGGTAACTGAAAGCTCAGAAGTAAGCCGGGTTGTGACTATGTAGTCTCCTGCGAGAAACAGGAATGAATTCAGAGCAGCAGAGGTTTGGATGATTGACATTATTTCCTCTCCACATTTCTCTTCACATGTACTTTCCCCCTTTAACCTACCAATCATTTGACTAAAATAGAAGAAGACACTAGAAGTGCAGGGGAAGATGGGAGAAGACATCACTGATGGGTAGTCGTTATTTTGTTCCTTCTTGTGATGTAAAAAGAAGCCTCCTTTGAGTGAGAGGGATAAGAAAATGTCTGCTACAGTATCCAATGCTGGGTAAAAAGTCATGTTCAACTACTGTAAATGTAATCGTCACTAATTAACTTATCTTTGAACATTTTGTGGTACAGGGCAAAGACTGATAAAAGAAATTACTTTATCTCCTATCTTAGATGAAAACAGTTCTTACTTCAAGGGCAATGAATTCACTACTGAACACTTGTTATAAGCCCCTGTATTTAAGCCTGGGGGATTGTTCTACCAGCATAATTACCATTAATATGCAAAGAATAGCACACAGTTCCTGAATTTGTAAAGTTCACAAGGATTTGTCCTTACAGGGAACAGAAACAAGCTGAAGAAGCCCTGTGTTAGTGTAGCCCAATACTAGGTGTTGACTCTCTGTGTTTCTGAGTGTCAGAGCTCACCTGCTGGGAAGCAGCTGTCCCCCATCCCCATCCCCCCACTCCCCTTACCCCCCTTCCCTCACCCCCACTCTCTCCCCAACCCCCATGCTTTCATCCATGGAGCTCACTCCCATCTGGAAGGGATGGAGATGAGAGGAAAGCCTACAGTCTCTGCTGCAGAGGCTGGTGAGAAAATGAACATTAATAAATGTTTTTGTTAGTATGGATGAGAAATTCAGGAAGACAAGTCATGGTGGCCCTGCAGTGGTAAAGCTCCAGAGGCTCCCTAACTTCAGTCTATGTTTTGTCTTCATATCTAGGCTCGTTCTCCAAGTGCAGATTCACAAGTCTACTGCCTGTGTGAGGGCACTGCATGGAGAGATCTCACAGCAAGCTCCCCTCTCCTCTGGGCTATTTTCGTCCTACACTCTGTCTCTGGTTCCTTGATTGTCAACTTCTGAATCAAAATTGGGGTCAGCCTTGGCTCCTCCCTCTTTTCATCGCTTACTTAGGGCCACTTCTGAGAAACAGGCCTGGGCTCATTTCCCAGATGGATGGAGAAAGCTGGGGAACTCTTGACTATTGACTTTACTATTCTTTATTGTGGTATAAAACTCTTGATAAATAAGAACAAAAGTAGAGGTCATTTACACAGGTTTCTTACTTGACTGAATTTCTACAAATTTTTTGTTGTCATTTTTATATGTTTTTAATCCAGCCTAATTTGTTGAGTCCATTCTGTAATGTATCAGTAGAAGCAATTTTTAAATTCCTGATCTATCATTGTGAGGATTTTATTTCTGATAAAGGGGAAATGACATAGGAGTGCAAATTCAAGGTCCTTGTTTAATTTGTAGTGGATACTGTGAGTATCAGAACAGGCTGCAAAACAGTGTGAACAGGAACTAGAAGGGCCCCCTCTCCCAGGCATCTAGCATAAGGCAGCCTCAAACCTAGAGGAAATATAAGGGCCCATATAGATGGAAGTCTCTGTCCCACCTGGTTCCATAGCCATTTAGTCCCAAATAAAAACATCTCTGCTTATAAACTGCTTGACTGAGGCTCAGGCTTCTTATTTGGCTAGCTCTTTCTTAATTATAACCTATTTATATTAATATAAGTATCTTCACATAGTCTTGGCTTACCAGATAATGCCTGGTGTCCTATCTTCCCAATAGCTACATGGTATTTCTCTGGTGGCTCCTCTCTCCTTCCTCTTCCCAGAATTTTCCTAGTCTGGTAGCCCCATCTGTATTTCCTGCCTGGCTACATCCTGCCTGCCCATTGGCCGAAACAGCTTTATTCATCAACCAATAAGAGACAAATATATTCACAGCATACAGAAGGACATCTCCCATCAGACCCAGCTGCCCAGGCAGCCAGCACAGAATGGCCTCAAACCTAAGACCTTGAAGGTTGCATTGTGAGGCACTATTTACTGTTTGGGTTTCCTATAATTACTTTTCTCTCCATTATCCCATCATATGCCTAATCAAATGAATTACTGATGACTGAAAAATTAATGAACTACCAGACTTTAAAAAAAATCATATGTTGTAATTAATAGTGTTCAGTTCAACAGCAGAAAGCTTAGGAAATAAAGTCCTAAATTCAAATTGGTTGAAACAATAATGATCAAATTAGTTTCAAAGATGAGTGCTATTTTCTTCTTTTTTTCTGACATCAATTAGCCATTTTAGCTTTCTGGGCCTTAAAAATCTCTGGGCCCAAGTTATACGTGCTTCAAGGACAATATATAAGAAGTATTAGCATGTGTGCTCCTTGAGATTTTAATGAGAAAGATAATTAAATAAGATTCCTTTTGATGGTTTTGAAAAGTGATACAAAGAGAAAGGGTTTTTAACTTGTTTTGAGACTTGTATTCTAATTCCAAGAATTGAGCCATTATAACCCTTAGTCTCAACATTTATAACATGGAGATGTTTGGGGCTGTTAGAAAGATCTGATGAGGTCATTTATGTAAAAGGCAAATAGTGAAGTGTTGTAGAAAACAAGAGGATCATTGATCTCACCTTTTACAGTGCAAGCAAATTTCGAAACATGATCAAAAGTTAGTAGTTTCATATGCTAAAATATGATTTTATTTACTTCTAATCGTTTTATACAACAAAATAAAAGAGACACTAATAGCTTCTGAGTTTAAATTATTGTATCTGGAGTTTTGCAAAGAAGGTGTTTAAGTTAACATTAAATATTCCTTTTTATTGATCAAAGCACATATATTTAACCAGATATGATGATCTCACAGGCCTATAATCTCAGCATTCAGGAAGCTAAGGCAGGAGGATTTCAAGTTCAAGGCTACCTTGGCCTATATGAAGTGGCCAGGGTTCTCAAACTAGCAATCCCAAGACCAGATGCAGCTATGGCAAAGATGTTATTTAGGGTGCCACTGGAAACTCCTCTCCAAAGACAATGGGCACTTGGACAGACAGTCTGGGGAAGGCCCACTTGGGGGCAGATGGTAGGGCCTCAGTTGGACCAGCCATATGGAGCAAATACTCTGCTCCAGCTGTCCCTGAAGAAGCTAGTCTTAGATGCCAGTTGTATTACAAGAGACAACCTGAAGCCATGAGTGCTGTCCCTTACTGCAGAAAATGTAGTACACTATGAGCCAAAGTTTCCTAATACAATGTCTGATGTCTGATATAGGCTACCATACTATTTACTGCCAACTCAGAATAATATTTTCCTTTTATCTATACTGTCACCATAGGATATCAAAGAAAGTTACTATGAAAAGAAATTACTTTTTATTTTAGCATTCCAATTCAGTAAATAGTAAATGTATTTCAAATTGTTTAAATCACAATCCATACTTCTTAAAGAAAGTATGAAAGAAGAACTTACAAAACGAAGGCTAAATAAAAACATGGCCTCCTTTGGGATCTTAAGTTACGTGTCTACTCAACAAATTAATTCTAAACTGACTTAGATGTGTAGAAACCAAAATTGGTGGGTTATGAATCCAGACTCCAAGGAGGTGACTGTTGTTAAAATGTTTAGGTTTATCCAGTAAGGAGACACAGACCGTGACTCAACGATCCCACGTATTGGTGGATGGGGAGGGAAAGGGGGGTGAGAGGTAACCAACCCGTGCAGAGCAGAGAGATAGATAAGAGAGAATCACACACACACACAGAGATAAGATGAGAATAAGAGTGTAAGAGGGAAAGAGAGCGGAAGTAGGCAGGGGTCAGTCCTTTAAAGGGGTCCTTTGCACCTGCGCGGTTCTCACAGAACTCTGGGCTGGCCAGAGTGTTGCCTGAGTGCATCCTGCCAGGTAACAGGGCAGGCCAGCATATTGCCGGAAACTTTCAGTGACAGCCTGAGAAGGAAAATAAATGCTTATCCTAACAGCTTATAGAAGCTCAGTTAGACCACAGAATTCTCACCAGATCCCATCAGGTAACATCTTCATTTAATTATCTCAGAGTGCAGATAGCCCCTGAATTAATATGTGTCATAATTTTTTCAGTTTTGTTGAGTGTGAAATCAGACTGCATTCAATGGAAACCGTACTTCAAATTTTGGCTTTTGAGCTCCTCCCAGGGCAGCAATATATAGCACCATACTGTCTGTGATGCTGAGCAGTGGCAGTGAACTATGACCCTGGCTGTCATACATCATTGGGAGTACCACAGGAGCTTCGGTGCTGAAGAAGGATATGCTGTGCATTAGGGGAAGGAAGTAGGTTTTCACTGTATTCACAGTGGGTCTACGGCCCCACCACACAAGGAACATGTGTATTAGCTTATGAAACTTCCCTTAATTTTGAAATAAAAATGTTTCCTCCAAAAGAGCAGTGTGAAACAGCCTTTCTGTTCTTTCAGGCATATAAGTGGTATGAACTTGGGCACAAGAGAGGACATTTCGCCTCTGTCTGGCAGCGTTCCCTCTACAATGTGAATGGTCTAAAGGCTCAGCCATGGTGGACACCCAGGGAAACTGGCTATACCGAACTGGTGAAGGTGAGTGTCAGTTTCCACAGTGCCCACCCAACCTACTTCTTGTTAAAACCACAGGCTGTGGAAGGAGTGTTAGAGAAAAGGCATTACTTTCCTTCCTTCGTTCCTTCCTTCGTTCCTTCCTTCGTTCCGTCGTTCCTTCCTTCCTTCATTCCTTCGTTCCTTTGTTCCTTCCTTCCTTCCTGCCTGCCTGCCTGTCTGTCTTTTTTGTTTGTTTGTTTTTCTAGACAGGGTTTCTATGTACAACAGCCCTGGCTGTCCTGGAACTCCCTTTGTAGACCAGGCTAATCTTGAACTCACAGAGATCCCCCGGCCCCTGCCTCCCTAGTGCTGGGATTAAAGGTGTGCACAGCCACACCTTTATTTTATTTATGGTATTTTATTTCTAGTAAAGAATCTTCTAGATAAAACTTCATGAGCCAAGCCTCCATCATCTGTACCTCTCACAACATTTCTATGTTTCAAGCACCCAATGCCAGCTCATTAAACTCTGAGGCATCACAGACCTTTTCTAACCTATAGCTCCAAAATCTTCTCACAGTCCTTCCCAAAACAACAGGATCAGATTCATTACAGCAATGCCCCATGTTCTTGGTATCAATTTCTGTACCAATTTGATTTCTGTTGCTGTGATAAAACACTGACCAAAACCAGCTTGGGAGGGAAGGGTTATTTCAGCTTATAGGTCCAAATTCATCACCAGGGGAAGCCAGGAGAGGAGCTCAAGGCAGGAAGCTGGAGAAAAAAAGAAATGAAGCAGAGAGCTTGGTGGAGTGAGTGCTGCTTATTGGGCCTTGGGTTGCTCTCCGTGGCTTGCTCAACCCACTTTATTATACATCCCAGGACTAGCTGCCCAGGGTTGGCAATGCCCACAGGGGTCTGGGTCCTCCTCCATAAATCATTAATCAAAAATAAATGCTCCCACGCATATGCCCAAGGGCCAATCTGATGAAGACAACTCTTCTATTAGGGATCCCTCTTTCTAGGTGATTTTCAGAATTTAATAGCTATACAGTATGGGAACACTTTACATCAATAGATTAAATCTACATGTTGTTTTGTATTTCAAATGGGAAAAAATACACTATTTATCAGATGCGCTGCCATATTTGGGACTCAGCAGTTTGTAGAAGATGATATGTTCTGGTTTCCCAGTAACTAAAGATCTTCCATATGAGGAGGACAAAAGTGACGAATATTGCTAATTCTAGGACCCGGATGTGGGACATGGGGAAGCACCATGCACTTAGTCACATTTTTGTATGATAAACACCTAGAATACACTAGCCCTTAAGATCCACTAGACATTAGCAATGAATTTGGTCTGCTTGTGAGGAGGAGCCGCAATATGCTCTGAATGGATTTATGAAACAGGCTCTATTTGACTGGTCTTATCCCTATAACTATATGCTTATAACATGAACTCTGGTCACAAAGTCAGCCCACCCCCTCAGGCTCTATGCACTTTGTAGAACGAAAAACAGTCTGGCATTGGTATGTGTGCAGATTCTTTTAAGAGGCCCACATCTGAGCAGAAAGAGTTCAAGACCACCATGTACAGCTCTTAGTGCGGTCTGTCATGTTATTTTTCCTCATAAGATTCCATCTCCTCTCAGAGCACACACTGGGGTCTGCTGATTCCCCTGCATTGTTACCATTTCCTGGACTCTTGTGAAACGGGGATACCTGCTGTCACTTTCAGGATGCTTTCAAATTCAAGTGACAGAAATGAAACCCAAAGATTGCTTCAACAACAGACAGTCCAGTTGATTATCTGGCTAGAAGCCTGATCTGAGAACAGATTTAGTTTTCAAGATTCTTGTTTCTGGGAAGTCTAAGATGAAGATAGCAGTAGACAGTGTCTGATAAGAGCTTGCTTCCTGGTTCACAGATGGTGTCTCCTCACTGGATCTTCACATAGGGGAAGAGAAAAGGCAACATTCTATCAGTGCAGTGTGTTACTAAAACTGGGGCTGTATTAAGCCAAACTAGATTATTTTAAATAAAGTGTTAATATCCACTGAGATATTTTTAAAAAAGAAAAAGGAAAAGACAGACATTAACAAGTGTTGGAATGTACACAGAGAAACTGAATCCTTGGACACTTCAGATGGGTATGGGAAATGGTGTTGGCCCCTTTGGAAAACAGTGTGGCTGCTCTTCAAATAGTTGAACACAGAATGAATGCATAAAATCAGGGTCCTTCAAAGTGAGAATGAATAGACAAAATGTGGTAATCAGTTTATCTACACTACAACAATTAAAGTAACGATGACCTGATAGCTAGTACAACATGGATGAACCTTTAAAAAATCATACTAAGCGATAGAGGCTAGTTACAAGAAGAGTGCATTATAGAATTGTGTTCATGTGAGCTGTCCTCGCTAGGCAAGTCAACAGGAACAGAAAACTGTCTTCCTGGCTGGGATAATGAGGAATGAGTGACCTCTAATGAGAAAGGGCTTACTTTCCAAAGTGAAACTGTTTTAAAATTCAAATGTTAATGGTTCCTCAACTCTGCATCTCCTAAACCCCACTGAATTACAAAAACTAATTGAGTAAATTGTATGGGACGTGAAGTAGAGCTGGATAATCCCTTCAAAATATATAGCACATAATAGCGTGTAGTAGTTCAAACACAAAGAAAGCAGGTATCTGTAGAATGATGAAGGACCTAACTTCATCATCAAAGCCAAAGGGTGCAGTAGTTTAGAGTGTGCACTCCATAGCCAACCCTGCCTGCTGGATGTTCTGTCACTCCACTAGCTGTGTGACATTGCCTATGTTCTCTGTATTTCAGTTTCGTTATCTGCAAAATGTGCATGGTGCTGACTCTACCTGTGTTCTGAAGATTTAATAAACAGGCATGCTCAATAAATGTTAGTTATTGTTACCATGATGGTTGTAATTAAAATTACATGATTTTGTGAATTTCTAAAAGCAACTGTAAAATTAATTTTGAAGTATCCTTTATTATTTGAATAATAATGTAATAATTATCATCCACTGAATGCCTTCTAGCAGCCATCAATGTGCTGAGTGCTTTTGTGTAGTATTTCTAATCTAATCTTTACAGCAGCTCTAAAAGATCATTACCCATTTATACATGGGTGAAATACAGATGAGAAAAGCTAAGACACTTGCTTAAGTTCCCATTTGTAATGGTATCTGGACTGGGATTTTAGTCCAGACCAGTTTACTCTTAAGTCAGTGTCCTCCCTTGTGTCCTACAACAGCCTTCAGCATTATTGGCATTTGCTCTTAGGTCATATGTTCCTGTGTTAGTCAAGTATTCGTTTTGTAATTGCTTTTAACTGAGCTTCTGGGTTTCAGCACTTGTCAGATTCAAGCTCAGCTTTCTTTAGGAAGTGAAGCAGAGCCTGCCTGTTAACCTGAGAGTCCAGCAGCATGGACTCTCAGTGTGGGTGACATCTGGCAGCTCAGTTCTATGGGATGCTATTTTACTTTGCCACCTTAATTTGCAGGAATATTAATAGCAAGCACTGAATGACCTTTTAAGAAAAAAACTACTTCAGGGCAACTGCTACCAGTGGTGACTAAATATCACTCACATCAAGATAGCCTTCCATTTCCAAATCCCAAATTTGAACATTCTGTGTCATCATCTAGTCACTGATATCTTGAAACAGAAACCTTCCAGATACTGTGGCTGTCACATTTGGCCAGAATGCTTTTAAAATAATTTCTTAGAGTGTGTCTAAGTCCCTTGAGTGACTTGCATTTTCTACCAGTATGTCTTCATTCAGGATACTCAGTGTGTTCAGAGGCAGAGAGTGAAGTTTTCTTGGTGATGTGGGATGAGGCTGAGTAAAATGTAGCCCTATGCTACCTCCTCCCTTTGTCAGTTCTCACCATTCCTCTTCTTAGATAGCTTAGAATTCAGCAGATCTGGCAATGGGGTTATAAACCTAGATGGAAGAAACCCAGGAAAGTATTGCAACGGTATTTTCCCTTTGGGGTATATTTTCTGTACAGGTGGGTAGGTGGTTGTAAACAGTTCACAAATATCAGAGTACTGAGTTCCTGGGAGATATTTAAATGAGAGATTGATAAAAGAAATGGCTTAAAAACCTTGTAAGGTTGAAAGTAGAAATTATTACTTGTATAAGGAGAGGAACCATCACACCTTGAGAATTCCATTCTGCTTCAGATTGGCAGTTTGATCAGCACTAGGGTGTGGCGAGTTTAGATGAAAATACTTGCATAGAGCAACCAAGAAATAGGTGCAACCAAGAGCACCTGAAGCTGTAGGTTACAACATCCCATGGTATTCTTTCTCCTGATGTTGCTTCCTTACATTCAATACCAGGAAAAAAGAAAAATTCTTGCATTCAACTCTGAGCTTCTGAGACCGGCTGCTCTCATGTCAGCAAACAAGCAGCATGTGGGAGACGTTTGCCTTTCTTCACAATGTGGTTTTATTTCAGTTGGAGAAGTTCCTGGCAGTACTTTGCCAGTGGAGTGACAGAGAGCAAAGGAAGGATGGATTAGAACAGCGTTCTGTCTAGCTCCTTAGATGCTGCTCTTTCTAGGAATTCCATTGTGTATGAATGACTTCACCTGGACAAAGAGAAGAATTAACCAGTAGTTATTATGTTAGGGCTGCAACATTTCTTGCTCTGTGATTAAATATTTGAATATTTTCAATGAACTTGAACTTGCTTTGAAATGAAATGGACTGGGGAAGCAAAAATGTCAGACTTACCATGGAATTAAGCTACAAATTAAGGGGCTTAGCAATTTTACATAAAAGTAGGTGCTGAGCTATAGGTAAGCTTCAACAGCAATTCTTAAGATTTACATGATAGTTTAATCTTACTGTTTTAAGGCACACTTCAAACTTTTTGGACCTCAGTGATATCTTCACTGGAAATGGCAGTAAAACCAAACTGAGGTGACTGAATGACTGAGAGCTTTGTGCTTAAAGGGAGCCTTGCAGGAGGAGCCCACTCTTATGGGCAGGAACATTTTTGCTGTCTGCT